TGTAACTAACGAAAGCGATTTGTATGCCTGAATATACGAGATGGGCTTTATTTCAACGTCGATTTGCATGTCTAAAGTTGCCCAGTCCAACTGGGATGATTATTTTCATACTTTTCCCATTAAAATTCAAGACACATGGTCTCATTCTTTTATGTATTATAATAAATGGAAATAACGTTTGGGTAAAACAGAATAACACGGTGGCCGGCTAAACAACCCTCTCAAAATGAGTTTCCCTATCCATTGTGTTAATACTCCAACGTTCCCTGCTTTTATTTCACACGACATAAAGGACATAAGCCGTCTAAGCACCTAGCAGATATTGGTCTGAACGAATTAAGCCGTTTAGAATTTTTAACTCTCGAAAAAACGAAACCAAAATTGACGGTATGATGTTGTAGACATAATGGATGAAGTTACGATTTAGTGACCCAATGTCTCGTGGTAATTTTATGTTTGCAATAAGAGTAAAATTGAAGTGGTCTAAACCACATAAAAAACCAATAATCATTCTATTCCGACAATAAAACTTTAGACGGTGTGTAATAAATTGCGTTTTTTTATTTCGATGTATTTGAAGAAGTAAAAAAAAATATTTTGCGCGCGTAGCTCTTGAAAATACGTACAAAACACAAATGCTGTTGCAGCAGAAATTACCAGAAACAGGCTGCTTTTAAAACAATAGATGTAGTTCGATAATAATTTGCTACTTTAATAACCGGTGTGTTATTTTCGACAATTGAGGACGAAGGAGATTTTGTGAAATTGTACAATAAAAGTTGTAATTCAACTTTAGAAATAAGATAAAAGTTTAAGACGGTAACGACACCGTTGAGAGTTATTCACAGGAGTTCTTAATGTCTTTAATTATTCTTTTCAAAATTAATTCTGTTTAAAAATTCCCACATTCGCTGGGTACATTGCCGTAATTCTGCTTTGAATGCTTAATTTTATTCACTACGGCTTCTCTGTATATTTAAAGATAAAAACTCGTTAGGAATGAACTGTTTATGTCTCAGACAAGTTGCATTGTCTTTCAATTTTTTTTTGTAAACCAACAAAACTTTATGAATAAGAAAAGATAGATAAAAGTGTACAACACAACCGTCACTATATCATTAAAACGTAAACCTATTTGCAAGCAAGCAATAAATTTCGTGTTATTTGCTCGTCGAAAAGTAACTTTAACCTTAAAATAGCTCAGGCCACAGTCTTTTATCGCTTTTATCTGGATGTTTGCGTACCAATTCACATATACACACATTGCTAAACAAAAGCAAGCAAACATGCTTCTAGTGTTGTCTTAGGACTAGTAGTTTTTCCTTCGAGAATAAATTCCAAGGCAGCCGAGACGCCCCTTTCGTTTTGCTTAGACAGACCGAAATTCTGGACTGTCTTTTACTAATTATATTGATACCAAATCGATCCTTTGTCTACTACAAGTCGTAGTGTAAATATAAAATCCCTAAGGCCCCTATAAAAAGTACCTTTAGTAAATGACTCGTGGACGTTTTCGGGACGGTTAATAGTATGGTCCTACGAGCCGAAGACGGCCGTCAGTTGTTAAACTTAGACAGCACTTGTAGAAAATATCGCTGCTGTTTTTTAAAGGGCGTTTAGAGCATAAAAACAACGTCTTTTCGATAGAATATGAGAACATTCAAATAGCTTTTGAGAAAAACAAACAAAGAGTTTACTAATACATATTGCCTCGAGCAGATCTATTTATCAAAAGTTACTTGAGAAAAAACACTCCTTCCAAAATGTTTAAATTAAAAATGCGTCCTCGATTTTAAAATACCTTTAGGCCTTAATAAAAGAAAATAAAATAACAGATTCAGCTTATTGAATAGTGAAATTATCTTAAAGGTAAGGAGTGTTTTTAATGTTGCGATGTATCTTTAATAATAATTGGTATTATAAAGCGTTATTAGTAGCTAGGGTTGTTGTCTCGTGTTTTACTAGGGTTGGATTGTTTCCTACTTGATAATTCAAGTATTCCAAGGGTGGAGTAAACTTACCGCCACATTTCAGCCCTTATCATGACGACAACCCACTTGGATGCCATTCTCTTTTCCAAGCAGTGTCTGATAAAATTGTAATTGTAACACATTAGCATACCAAATATCAACTTTGTTTATCTCGTTTCTTCTTCGAAGCAGTGGCGCCAACTTTAAGTATCACGTAATGGGAATAAAAACGAGATTATTATAATTCAGATTGTTGTTGCTGTAGAAGAGCATGCATTTCTGAGGATTTAACGACAAACATTACCTTTTTATGCATTATTATAATTACAAGCCTTTATTTTTAGCAGAAATTTAATTTGAATCAGTTATGCCTAACAGATAAGAGGCTTTAGCATCTCTTTCAACTCAAAATAACCTTTAAAGTACGTATCACAAATTCTGTATTTTCAACTTAAAGTTAATGTCATTAGGCTATTAAAAAATTGTAGGTACATGTAGATACTAAAATAATAATGAAAGCATTGTGATGAGAACCTAACTTGATGCCGCGCCACTGGTTTGACCGCATCCACCAAAAGGTAATTCTCCTCTGACGTGGAGATAAAGCTCGTTCTTCTCCTTGGCAAAATATTACCCTTTGTCTTTTGCGTTTACATGTTTATGTACAGCCCAATGTTTACATCAAATCATTAAAGGAACGTTGTGGTTCAGCGAGCTTAATAATAATATGTCGGTCGATCGTATGTATGCAAACAAAGAACGATATTAAAACTTGCATCCCACTTGAAATTGCAGGGGATTCATGCAAGGAAGATTTTCTGCAGAAATTGATTTATTATAGAACCTCAAGTTGTATGTATAAAAGTTTACTAGGGGATTAGAAAGAAGATTATGGTTACATTTCAAAGCTCTTCGTACGAACATATAGTACAAATTAATTTTATTAACTTGGATATTATAAAAGATTGCGGAGGTTTTAGCTTTTTGTTATTTTTTTTTAATCCAGACATATTTAGAGTATTAGAACTGAAAAGTTTTTTCAAACAAATATTATTTACCATTACACACTTGGTTTACGTTAAAATGCTAATGCTAAATATCAAAATTTAATAGTTGTCAGAACTTTGTACATTTAAACATTCTTCGAAAATATATAAATTTATGAGCTGAATTTCTCAAAACTTGAATAGAAAGTTTATCATCAAAATTCCAATTCAAAAAATCGATCTGCAAAGACAAACCAGAACTCAAAAGCTTTTCTACAGTCGATAAGTAGGTGCTTTTTTATAAATCGTTTAATTCAAACGTAAATTTTATGGTATAGCTTCCACGCATGGTATCTAAATCACCTTTTGTGATGCACTTTCCTATTAAAATTTAGAGTGAAATGAAATTCTCCTACGCAAATCCAAAGGGAAATAGATCGAAGGAATAGATATGGAATTCAAGCGGGGAATGTTAGGACTGAAAATATTTCGATGATATTTAATATAAGATATATATGGTGACTAGGTACTTTTATTTGTTAGAGAAATGTGCATTTTGTCTTTTTTTTTTGGCTAGCCTTCTAATTTCAATCAATCTGTACACATATCTAATATTTGTCGAATAAATTTATAACTTCTTAAAAATTTGGATACATATGTTTAAAACAGAATTGTGCACATAATATCTATTGATTATGCAAGCATCACTGAAATATGTTAATCTATAAAAAAAATCTACGTTCTTCTAACGACACGCAGTATTTTACACTTCATTTTAATATTCATTAATTTTTTTGCGAAGAGATCGCAACAAATTTAAATTTTAGACAGAACTGCTTTGAATGATGTTGAAACAAATGATACGTAGATGAAAAATAAAGTGTATATATATATTTTTTAATGATAGCTTACAAAACTGGATGCACTTAATGATCTGGCAGGGAATATCAATAGGGAGGTATATGTTGCGAGGAGATAGAGAACCAGAAAACGCGACTTCAACACATGTATTTTTATGTTATTCCTTTATTATAACATAGACCCTGCTATGAAAAGCATTTTGTAAATTAGCCGAGAGATCTCAGCGAAAATTAATTTGACAAACTTCGTGTAAAACATGAACATCATTTAAGGAAAATTACGCACTCATTAGGGTTACCAAACCCTCTTAATAACTTAATTTCAGTTTGCCGAGCGTCTGCTTAATGTACTCGTATTTTACATACTTTGTCAGACCTACGAAATATTGCCTCTTTTCAGACAGATCTTTCGCCAGACTCGACGCTTTAGAATGTTATTAAACATTAAACAGTTCTTTTTCGTTTCATTTTCAGGAAGATCGTACTTAATTTTTAAAAACTGTCTTTCAAATTAACAGAACATAACTTGTGAGTGTATTCCCGAGTAAAAATGAAAAAGACTAAAAGACCGCCGAATTAGCTCCAAATGTCTAAAAACTACTATTTTACCACCGAAATAGCGCCGGTGAATACGACAAAAATTAAAAACTCTAAAATACGACCAAAATACCTCTATTAAAACGACCGAAAAAGCGCCGAAATAGCACCGAAAACGGCTGCCTACAAAAACGACCGAAAAACCACCGAAATAGCACCGAAAACGGCTGTCTACAAGAACGACCGAAAAACCGCCAAAATAGCACCGAAAACGGCTTCCTACACAGCACAAGATACAAAAATAATGATTATGGATTATTAATTTATTCATAAAGTATTTAATAACTTTTATCAATTAAAATTGATATAAGGATATAGTTAGTGATGGTTTTTGTCGTAAAAAAAAATTTATATTAATGTTTATGAATATACATATATTTATATTCTCTTTTAAATGTACAATACTTCTCAGACTTTTGAAAATTTAAATATTACATTTCCGAAAGAAGGTCATAATTTAGAGGGCATTATTACGTATACTAACTTTAATGTCAGTCATTAACTGAACCAGTACCACCGTCATCTTTAGAACGAGTACCACCGTCATTATCTGAACCAGTACCACCGTTATCTTTAGAACGAGTACCACCGTCATCATCAGAACTAGCACCACCGTCATCATCAGAACCATCACCACCGTCATCATCAGAACCAGCACCAGCATCATCATCAGAACTAGCACCCACATCATCATCAGAACCAACACCAACATCATCATTAAAACATACATCTCCAAATTTTACTTATCCTGCACCTAATGATCCTAATCAATTAAATTTTTCATATCCATCGCCATACAGCGTTCCATTTAACCTACATCATGTACCTCCGCAGTATTCAAATTATCATGAATATTATAATTATCCGAACCCAAATTATTATCAGCCGTATCATCAACAATATAATGCACAGCCACATAATTATTATGAAAATAGCAATAATAAAATAAGTAATAATAACATTAATCATAATATTAACAATAGTAATAATAGTTCAAATAATAATGATAGTTGTTACAATATTCAGAATCTTTAATACTTTATAACATAAATAAAAGTTAATTAATAATTAATCAGTTTTTGTTATTTCATGCGAGAAGAGTACTGTTCCAACGCTCTTTTAGTAGAAAAACGGCGGTTTTTCGGTGCTTTTTTGGCGGTTTACTGAAATGCGGTGCTATTTTAGTGCTATTTCGGCGCTATTTCGGAGGTTTAGTCCTGCAAACGGGCCTTTTTTCGTCGTTTTTTGGAACAATTTACGGTGCTAATTTGGCGGTATTTTAGTTGAGTGAAAAATTAATGAATTATTTTTACTCGGGTTATAAAAGAAAAAAAGTTTATCCTGTAATTTTAAAGATGAAGACACGAAAACTGTATATATTGCCATCTAGCGGGTGTTTGCTTCTAATGAAGTGACTCATGCGTTAGACAAGATCTTAATAACGTATCAACTTCCTTATGGAATGCTGATGAGATAATAAGATCGAAATCTCGATCGGAGCCTGGTAGTCTCGATAAATTTGTGTGTCTATCACGTAGCAAAATCCCACTAGATATTAACTAAATTCAAATTTCACTTACGTGTGTCATCGTATCTGAAGCCCATCAAAACGGAAAAACATTTTTGGACAGCCGAACCGTTGACGGGTGTGGGGGGCCAACATAAAACGCTATCTGAGGATGCCGGACAGAATGTATCCCAGACTTTTGTATTTGTGTTTGTCTCGTTGTTGTATATTGCTTTACACTGTAATGAAAAGAAAATACTAAATGGTTATCTATTTGTTACTGACTTATCAGCTGAGAGTTTAGCAAGGACAACGTTTAGGGCATAGTAGGTAACCAATTAACTTAAAAATATTAATGAAATTGCGTGCTCTAATTATTATATTAAATAATACGGGGTACGTAACAGTATTGTATGAAAATAAATAAACGTAAAAATAATGGTATGCAAGGAAAGAAAAACTAGGGAAAGAACAAATGTAAAGATAGAAGACTAGAGATTAGTAGAAGTAGTTGATTTTAGGTATCTACGAAGTCAAATAAGTCAGGACGCAAGGAGTAGTAGGGAAAAAAAGGGTCAAGTCGCCTTCAACAAAAAGATGTCATTTCTATGCTCGCGAACGATTGATTTAGAAATTCGAAAAAGGTAGTTAAAGATGTATGTTTGGAGCACGGCGCTGTACGGGTGCGAAACATGGACAGTAGGCGCGGCGGAAAAGAAAAGGTTAGAAGCGTTCGAAATGTGACGTTACAGGCGAATGATGAGGATACTGTGGATAGAGAAGGTTAGCAATGAAGACGTATTAGAAAGAATAGGAGAATAGAGGACTCTATGGAAGTCAATAAAAAATAGACGAGATACGTTGGTACACCTTCTCTGGCATGAAGGTCTAGTCAGAGACATATTAGAGGGAGAAACGGGAGTTAGGAGGGGTAGAGGTAGGCCTAGATTAGATTATTGTTCGCAAATAGTTAAGGATGTGGGATGTTCTAGTTCTAGGGAAATGCGAAGTTTAGCTCAGGATAGGAAGGAGTGGAGGTGCGTGTGCAACCAGTCTTAGGACTAACGACTTTATGAAGATGATCATGACGTTTTTCGGTATTTATTATAAAAGGAGAAAAATGAAACTTAGATAGATTATTATAAGAAAGATACTTGTTCTACAGATGATACGTATCTACAAAATAAACCGAACACATCCAAATACGTTTGTAACACTTTTATGCTTGATGTGTTTGTTTTAAAGTGACAAAAATTGAAGTTAATTTGACTTGAAAGCCAATTGGTGCAATTTCCTTACATCTCATAGCTATTAGCTATAGATAAATGCATGAAAGTACCTATATGAAACTAATTCACTTCTAAATTTATGAAAAATAGTTATTTAACTTTTATATTGGTTACCGATTGATTCACTTTTGTGTCTGGATAAATAATGGTGGATTATACTTGCCACTTAAAGGAGTCAGATTATGTGAAATGAAGAAAACGGTCGATTGTTTTTGAAGTTTTTCAATTAATATTTGAAAGTTTTACATGACAAAGGATGTATGATTTGTGGCATGTTTGAATTATTCGAAAATTGAGCTTTCCAATCCGAGGATGTCAAAATTTTAATAAATTTGAATTTGAACCAAAAGCTAAAAGTAAAGGAAAGCAAACAAGTGCAAAATAGAAATCAATTTCTTCGGAAACGAATACATAGGCATTTATAGGCGGAAAATTCTGTCGTTTTCATTTTCCTTTATCAAACACTGAAAATTTCTTTGTGGGCTATGACGACTGTTTTTTGATCTATTGTAATTTCTCTTTTACCTGAAATATTTTCGGAATGAATGTTTATTTCAAAAGAAGAAATTTATTAACGAATACTTTTTCAATTTACTCTTTATAATAAAAACAGAGGAGGCTGGAGTTTCGAAGACCGAAGTCCTCTGATACTTTTGGAAAACTGCAGGAACATTTAGTTTTGCAAAATAATAAAGATATATTATGTATTAGCAATTGAACTTAGAAGGAGCGTGAAAAATTAAATTTTTTGTCTACTATTTTTTTTTTCTTTTGAATATTATGCACTTATTGATGGTTACTAGGGTTATGCAGCCCTTGAAGATTATTAGGCTATGTCTAGGTGAGGTTTACGTTGTGGTATTTTTCATACTAATTTTATCCTATTGAAAATAGGGATATGTTTTACATTTTCTACCATCTACCTTCTTTGAAAATCAATATGAAATAGACGAAGAGACATATTAGAGACAGAAATAGAAAATAAGGGGGTTGAAGCAGGCTTAGGTTAGATTACTGTTCACAAATAGTTAAGGATGTGGGATGTTCTAATAGTTTTAGGGAAATGCGAAGATTAGCTCAGAATAGGAAAGAGTGGAGGCGCGTGTCCAGTAAGTTTTGGAATTGACGACCTTATGACGATGATAACATTTTTCTCACATCTTAGTTAAAACGGATTTCCAGAAAACTTCACCTCATTACCTAATGATCAATATTATTTAGTTTTGTACTTTTTTGGTTTCCGCGAAAACCTTACTCAATTTATTATTTAGTGTTGTCCTTATATACTAAACCTATTGAAACAATACCTATGTAGATGGTATTTTTTAGTGTAGAAATTTCAATTTTTACTTACCTGCATATCTAGAGCTTCCATGTTAACGGGATCGGTCATATTTGAGTAACCGAAGTCAGCAAAATCAGTGCCATTGAATCCAATTTCGTTGATATGAGACCATAGATCAGAATCAATCGGTATTGGAGCTATATCATCAGACATTTCCATTGCCAGCATGTAATTTGGTTGCTCATCACTCATTTTAAAACTTATTGGATGGATATTTTAGCACAAAACACGACGTGTTAATGTTCCACAATTTAATCAGTGCCATTTGCGAAATGAAGACAAATCTGTTCAAAATTGAAAATGGAATACACATTGGTATCTACATAAGTGTCAAGTAGTAAAGTCAGATACTCGAACGGTATCGTTTTCAAAAATTATATTATAGAAACTTTGTGGTAACAATAGGGTGCACATTTCGTTAATAGATTACGTATGACTTTTGCAAGGGTGAGAGGGGTTTCTTGCGAATTGGGAGGCGGGTACACAATCCGTCTTACGTAAGATTTTTTACAAACTATTTTACGTAGGGACCATAAAAATTCTGTAATTTATTTCAGAACAAGTTTCTTTTAGCATCAATTAATACTAGAGGAGATGCGTGTCTAATCAGTCTTAATTAGGACTGACGACCTTATGATGATGTGTGTGATCACTTAACGCCATTTTTATTTATTGCAGTATAATATAAAAGTTTTATTACAAACGTTTAATCATAAAATTTATTTGTAACAAATAATTGTGCCAAAAATTTTAATATTAATATATATTGTGTTGCTTAATTGTTAATACCGTTTAATAAAGGATGCGAAATAATTACGTAAGATATGGGAGTCTAAAATTTATTAAAAACATCTTAGGTACGCGGAGATAATGAAAAAGGAAATTTACCTGAATATTAAAGCGATATTTACAATTTATCCTTTCTAAGCCCGTTGCTTCATAAGCAAAAAAAAAAATAAAAATTACAATTTGCACCCGAATTAAATAAATATACTAGGTATTTCAGTTGATATTACAAATTAGATTGTAATAATTAAGAAACTTGAAATAATTTTTAATAAAACATNCGAAATTGAGATTATTATAAGTTATCTAATAAATTCTACTACGTATTTCTACGGTAAATTCAGCCATTTACAATCGAAAATTGTAATTTTTGCGTTCTCCGTGTAATTTATTCACAAACCCAAGCATGATTTATTGTAGTTGTTTAAGAATAAACACTTGGAAGCGGTTCACTAATTACTTTTATAGTTCTCGACAATATTGTTCCGATCTATCTGATCATTATCAAGTGTAGATATTTTATTATTAACATATGCTATAAATTGTGATTTTTTTAACGAATATTCATTACCAAGGTTACTGTTAGGTATGTTGAAACTATTCTAGTGTTATTTTACCAAGTTATCAATGATAGTAAGCAATGGTGATTTAAATAAATCAAACTTTTCTGTAACTTCGTTCAATTACCCGTATAAAAATCGGCTCCAAATTTTAGTAGAAGCTTAAAAACTATTTTTGGTGCAGTAAAAAGATTAAGTACCTAGTCGACATACATACATATTATACTCTCACTCGCTTCTTTAATACAGTACGTATATTTCTATACATACATACATACAAATGCATTCATTCATTCATCTATTTATTATATTTTTATGATGTAATAAAATACTTTGGTGTAGTAGTTTTAAAAGGTATTTGTTCGTATTATTTTCTTTAACCTTAAGATAGATAATCTCCTCGTATCCCGATTTTTGTGACTAGGTTTTACAGCAATACATACGTAATTGAATTAGATAAAAATATTACTTAATACCTAATCTAATTAAGTTTCCGATTAATTAATTTGTTTAGTCGTCAAAAGAAAAATACTTCAATTCAACCACTCTAGTAGAATTATACCACTTACAATTTATTAGTGTAAAGAAGTGGTATAAAAATGCAGGATATTGTTACTCATAATCTTGCTGCTATGATATCACCAATACTCATGTAGATTAGTTTTCGAAGAAAAGAGCACGAGATAGAAGAAAATAATAATTATTCTCCATGACCTTTGCATATTATCTGCGATTAGTATAATTTTTATAATATTCAACTTATTACGCGTTGCCACATATATTATTATATAAATATATAAATCAGCAGATACACCTTGTATGTATGCACAGTTTCCGACAAAACAATTTTCTGCCTTTACCTGATATATGAGACACTTATTTGAATTAAGTACAAAAATATTGTTTCGAACTTCCTCGATTTAACAACCCTTGCACTACGTACACTAGTTCGTAAATAATTGACCTTTTAAACAACAAAACACTGTCGCGAAAACACTATCAACGCGTGCCGTAGTATTGAACAACTTCAAGTTTTTGCATGACCGATTTTATTGTTGGAAACAAACGAAACCCCGGACCGTTGCGTTTCCTTCATTGTCTGTTAAAGTGATGCACTATGGAATGCGACAATCTCCTTTAATTTTAGCGAACTAACATATTACGGCGTTGGCTGATAATGATAACACTTGTTGGAGGACAGTGTGTAGTGGCTGCAGCGGTAGCTGAATGTCTTCGTTATCGCATCTCATCTGAAACAGCAAATAATAAAGTTTATTGTATTTGCCATGCTACTGTTGATTTTTATTATCGTGTTTTTGTTAAACTGAGAACTAGAGTGCGCTTATTTTTTAGTTTAAAATCGAAACTTTGCCCTGTTAACGATTGCCAATGTGTTAAAAGGGTACGATAATTACGTAGTTTGCATGCAGCTATATTTGGAGCTCATGGAATATTTTGTAAAAAGTCTGAATGTAGCAGCACGTTGTTGTTAATTATTTCCTTATTTTTATACGTGGTATTATAAATAGTATCCTTAAAAACAATAGAATGGATTTAGAAAGCAAAACGAATATTTTCTTTTTTATATTTTTCCTCACTGACTTCCAAAAGTATCAATTTTATTTGAATTAAAATCATAAGTATAGTGTACGTAAATTTTTATCGTATTTATTTAGATTCTTTTAAATTTAGTTCTTTATAGACTAATAGACTTGATCTAATAACATTCTAATTAATTATGGGTTGTTACGCGCAACACACCTCTATTAGGTAAAGACAAAATGGATTTTAAATTTATTTAAGATTGTTCTATTGTTGTCTCTATTTTGATGCATCTAATTGATATTTAATCAAATTTATTAATGTAATTACGGTTATGGCTCATTTGAATAATGAATACTAAGCAGCAGGTGTATGTATAAAAAGTTGGACTAAAACCTAACTGAAGGATCAATATTTAAAACTATATCTTGCCTGTTTGCTATTAAAAAAAAAGAGGTTCTAAATATTATTCCAGTTCTAACAATATTAATACCTACAATTTAAATTTATTTATGAAATGATTATCTCCGAATCTAATTTATGTTTCGGGCGTGTTGTTCCATTATTGTTCATAATATCTTTTGTATATTCATTGTTGGACATATTTTAATGCTTTTAAGGCGTTGCAAAATATGCATGTCTAAGTACTTAAGCTATGTGCTTAGTTTAGTAATCCATTAACAAATACGTAGGCATAGGAGTTTATTTCAAGTATACTTATCGTTAGTAGTACAAGACTTTTTCGATAAATTAGTTAATGAACAAAATAATACTGGGAATTGTAAATGCAACGTTTTTATCTTTTTAAAAACTGTACAGGGTGTTATATATATATCTATAGAGTTAATTTCACTAGAATATCATTAAAGATAAGACGACTTTAGGGACAGATATACAGGGGCAAAAGATTAGTATGCTTAGATTTGCAGATGATATTACAGTATTAGAATCTAGCAAGGACGAAATTGTAGAAAACCTTAAATGAAATGTAAGGGTAAAACAAAATATTGGTATACAAAGGAAAAAAGTAGGGAGAGAGTGAATACAAACACGGAAGACGAATAATTAAAAGAAGTCGCAGATTTTCGAGTCAGATAATTCAGGATCGAGATATAAAACAAAGGATGGTGTAGGGTTGAGTTGCCTTTAATAGAAATAATCTTCGCGAAGGTTAATTTAGAAATTGGAAAAAGGTTGTTATAGGTGTATGTGTGGAGCACTGCTCTGTATGGGTGCGAAACGTGTCTAATCAGTTTTAGGACCGATGATGATTATTTAATTTTTGTAACAAATAAATTCTTGTTTTTAAAGATTACTTGCACTTTGAAAATATCTTGAAATACTTGTGAAAAAGTATTTCACTAATTAATTATACTATTTAAATATAAATATACTCCTAATTAATAAATAATATTAATTAACATACGAATTGATAGCATTCTGAGAGTTCACGTTATCGAAGTGACAGTTAAAAAGGTACGAATGTATAGATAAATACGTTTCTCTATTTAATTTGTTTATTAAAATACAATAACAAAGATGTATGCAAATAGGATGTCAGATAAGAGAGATACCTTACTTATTCTAATACTTTATTAAAATTTATAAGATATGAGATATATGACCAAAGTAATTTATACTTAATTTAAAATATTGTTAATGTGTGCGTCTCTAATCGTGATTGGTCTGTAAACAGGGGTAGTTTTCCAATTATTTTGCGTCAAGAATATTTTGTATTTTGGGCTAAACACCTTATGATAATGATCGTAATGTGATTACAGGAACAGTAATTGTTTTTTCGAATTACAATAGTTAGACTTAAGGACTGAAATTGATCACAAGGTTGGGATTGTTTAGTATCATAAGGTAACAGTATGAAATAATCCTCTGGACTCATTTTTAAGGATCCGATGGACCAGCATCCTTTACATTACGCGTTATCGGTTACCCTTTAGTTTGAAATGTATGAAAACTTTATAGCGTCCCAGGTGACGCTCCCTTTGTTCCCTTACCTTCCGATGTTCTTTTCCTTTTTTAGCACAGTTGTGTGAAACTAGCCGATTATTTCCCGACGTAAGGATCAAGCATTAAATATAACTAATTCTGTGCTATTAAATAAAATAATTCGAAGTGGTCTGTATTCTGTCGAAACTGCCAGACGCGGATCGCGATTTCGATCCTTTTGGATCTCATCAGCGCGTCGCAAACAGCTCTGACAGAACACAGACCAACTTTTACCAGCTGTTTGCCTGTTTCAGCAAGTAGATATCCACACAAGTGGACCTTGTTGGAGCATACGTAATCCTAAAATGTAGCATCGTACTACAGATGGCGTTTACCGCGCCATTTGTGGTATTTTCTAATTCTGTGTTGATATAAACATGTCTGATAATACTTTAATTCGGTCGTTTGTATTGCTGTGAAGAGTTTAAAGCTCGACGCGTATCAATTATTAGGCTACTCTTTATAAGCCGATTACTCACGTCCTTAATTCCTTTGAGCACGAAAGTGTATCCTTTCTAATCACCCTCTTATCTATGGTTGCTACATCTTTGTGCAAAGCGGCACGGCGTGCAAGATAAATGGTCTCGTGTGAAGCCCCTATTTAGTTTTACTAAGGGAATAATTACGGGCAAAACATAATAAATTCTATTAGAACTAGCTTTTAATAGTATTTTTGAAACCTAATAGGATAAATAAAATTTTTAAGCTTTTTAAAAGAACGTCGAAGCAGATACATTAGGGTCAATCAGTCGTGATAGAGGATGACATTAAAGGATTCAGATAGCATGTATCTCCATAAATACAGCATATCGTTAAAGGTTTCAGACAGGGCATCGGCATTAGGGTCATATCAATCTAAATTAGGTACACATAATAAAATATGCCCCATTGAAACTGGGTTTCAACCGGATGATGGTAGGGTCTACCTTAACAAATTGCCGGTCCCACCAGTAATATACATTCACAATCACGTTTCATGTTCTTCTAATCTCGTTTGTATATTCTTACTTGTTTGTCCCCTGTAGAATGCATCACAATTTCTACAATGGTTTTTTCAAATTTCGCTTTCATTGTCTAATTATTAAGCGACGGCATATTTTATGACTACTTTCTACCATAGCGTTGTAGGTGTTTACCAGTTAAATATTTTATAAAATTTTCCGTTTTATGAAACGGTACAGGGGTGTTTATAAATTAATTATTCTCTCTGTTCCGTTCTGTAAAACTGCAAGTGGCTTTAATGAAGTACTCTTCTGGTTTAATTGAGTAGTGGAAGATTCTTGAATTCCCATTTTTCTTTCTCAAAACACGATCCTTAATGATGGCTAACTAATAATGAATTAGCAACATATTTTCATGAAAAATTACGTAAAAATTGATCTCTCCACGTACAGCAATGGAAGTTTTATGGAACAATAATGATTTTTTGGTCATCATCATAAGGTCGTCAGTCCTCAGACTGGTTGGACACGTACCTCCACTCTTTCCTATCCTGAGCTAAACTTCGCATTTCCCTAAAACTAGAACAGCCCGCATCCTTAACTATTTGCGAAGAGTAATCTTATCTAGGTCTACCTCTACCCCTCCTAACTCCTGTTTCTGCCTCTAATATGTCTCTGACTAGACCTTCATGTCTGAGAAGGTGTCCTACCTACCTATCTCGCCTATTTTTTATTGACTTCCATTGAGTCCTCTGTTCTCCTATTCTTTCCAATACCTTTTCATTTCTAACCTTTTCTACCCACGATATCCTCATCATCCGCTTATAACACCACATTTCGAACGATTCTAACCTTTTCTTTTCCGCCGCGCCCACCGTCCATGTTTCGCACCCGTACGTCGCCGTGCTCCAAACATACACCTTTAAGAACCTTTTTCGAATTTTCCGATTTTTTGGTAGATGAAAAATATTTTTCTGAACTAATGCACGTACTATCGAGGGAATTTGATTTGTAGTCGAACAATTTCTCTGGTTCAGTAAAGAATGTGTCCGTCTCTTTGAGTTCTTGTCCATTTACTGAAATTGTTCGAGTAAATGTGCCATTAATTTCACTTAGAAGTTTAAATGCACTTTTTTATTGCGACTGGCAGCAATTTCTTTGTGGCAAAAGGACAAGAGCCTTTTTATTCTTTCAGGACTTTATAGCACGAGCCCGAGTTTTGCTACATTAAAACGAATGTAGAGTCGAAGCGCCTCACATACACTTTGCGAAAGCCTTACCGAGTGAAGGGAAAGGAATTTATTTTCGTGGCTGACTTAGTCCGTTCTGCCACACTAAAACCAACTGAGCGACGAAGAGGGAGATTTGCATCTTTATGCGAAAACAGTTGAAATTCACTTGTCTTCATCTTATTTTGTGTTTAATTAAAGTAAAATAAAAGATTTTGAATCTACGAAAAAGATATTATGGACTGTAAATACGTGATGAATTGACAAAAGTAATAAAGTAAGACAACCATAGTGATCTGCAAGGGAAGAAACAGCAGAGAAAGAGCGAATATAAAGATAGGACACGAACAATTAGAATAAATCGTTGATTTTCGGTATCTAGGAAGCTAGGTAACTCAGGATGGAAGGTGCATCATCGTCATAAGAACGTCAGTCCTAAGATTGGTAGGACAAGCACCTCCACTCTTTCCTTACCTAACCTAGTATTCGCATATCCCTAAAACTAGAACATCTCACATCATTAACTATTTGCGA